CTACTTTCCACTGTTCTGCCTGATTACTATTTATCGCCTCCTCAAAATTATTTGGATTTTCTACATTGCAGACGTTCACATAAACGTAACTATCGTTATATCTAGCTGGCATTTTCCTTTCTCTCTTCGATCTTCTCAATACTTGAGGCGTTCTTTGTTGTTTTATTTTCGAATTTAATTTCTGTACTTTCATCTTATATTTCAGAATCAGTTTCAATTTCATCACTAGAAGACATCACTACAATGATTCTGTTATTTACTAAAACTTTATATCCAACTTCAGTATAACCCAGCAAAATTCCCAAATCAGCCTTTATATCCCATTGAGACCTTCTTAACTGTTCTGGTCTTCGAACAAAAATTCTACTTCCATGTAGACGTAAATATTTAATAGTAAGCTTTCTTCCAAATATTATTTCGTAAGGCATTTTCTTTTCTACAGTATTTGCTGATATTCTATTCTTAAAATATGCAGCTGCGCATACTACAATAAAATTTACTAAAATTTTCGATCTATTTTTGCTTTTTCTAATAAACATCTAGACATGTCCATAATTGATTTATTATATCTTTCTGCTGTACCATTTAATTCATGTATATAAGGTGGACAGGTATTTATAGTAATACCTTTCTCTCTAGTTAAATGTTTAATATTTGAATTTAAATATTCTTTTCCATTATCGCATCCTAGTTTTTTAATAGTTTTACCAGTCTATTTTCTATTTATATATTCTAAGCAATTATAAACGTGATCTTTTGATTTAATGGTATATACCTTAGCTATCCTTTACTTATAATCATCAATAAATCTCAACAAATAATTTTCACCATTAAATCCCGTAGTAGACCCATTCAAATCAGTGTGAACTATTTCTAAAATTTCTTTAACTTTAGTTCTGTTATTGTCAAAAGGTAAATTATGCATCTTATTTTCAATACAAGTTTTGCACTTCATATACTCGGTTTCTAAATGTTCAGGTATGCCATCTAATAATTGGCTTTTACACAAAGTTGTTAAATCAGAAAAATTTACATGACTCAGAATACGATGCCATTTTTTTGCCATTTATCTGTGATTCTAGCATAACTAATTCAATTTCTATCCATTTCTTTAACATAAAAAACATTTGAATTCATTCTAACATTTGAAAAAACATTCTAATTGGAATTATTTTATCATAAACTTGAAAATAACTAATTACATGACCTACTTTAATGGCTTTCAAAAATTTACCATCACCAATTTTTACATTTACAGGTTCTTTTAATGTTACACTATCATGAAAATATTGATCATTATGTATTATAGACCATTACATGATCAGTACAGCCACTGTTTAATAATCAATGAATTTCTATTTCATCACCTAAATCTGATCTTTCGTCTTTACATATCATCATAGTTTGGACCTGCGTATAAAAACTGTTCATTCCATAACCTCTTCCGCAGTGATAATGGTTACCTCTTGAACTTTGTTGTTCGTCTTTACCACGCTGTCTGCCTCACAGCAAACACAACTCAACAATTCGAGTCTAAAATCGCTCAAAATCTTACAGAATCGGATAAAATAAGAGTAACATGAAATAATCTTTCCGTTTTGAACAGTTTAACATATTTCTAAACGTAAAACTAAATCTAGAACTAACACTAGACCTAGAACTAGAAACTTTCGGGTTCGCTTTGAACTTGTTTTCTGAAGAAGTTACAACCTTCTTCATTCATGGCATTCCCCAAAGTTTCTAGTTCTAGGTCTAGTGTTAGTTGTAGTGATAGTGCTAGTGTTTGTTCTAGTTTTAGTTTTATTAACACCGGCCGTGAAAGCCTTCGTACTTATATGTTTTTAAACGGTTTTAAATAAATTAAGAGTGAATGAAAAATTATCTGCCAACATGAAATGAGGTTAAGATTCTCTCTCGGGTAAAACATTGTCCCAATTTTTCCTTCATCAAATAAGAAAGTTAGGGTAAGAAGTGATTGCGTTCTGCTACAGGTAGCAGAATTCGGTTGTCTTTCAGGTATGTTTCTTTTACAGACGCCGGCAGATATTGACGGACAAAAACTCGAAATAAGACAGGACAAGGTTAGCTCTTTTCGAATATGTAAACCATTTGTTGAATTTCCTTCTATAATAAATAACTATATAATAACGGCTGCACAAGGCCTTAAAGTGGGGCAATTTTGAGGTGATTTAAATGTAGTGTGTCGTTTCTTATTTTTTTCTGCTCTTATTATCAACATATCGGCGGACGAAAACACGGTTTAAGATATAGAAAAGGCCGTGTTATTAGTTTTTCGCTATCTTTCTAGATAACGAAAATATTGTCCCGAAAAGTAGACGGAAATACAAGAGAAAAGTTTGTTGCTGAGCTGAAAAACGATTGTGCAAACGTGTGACTGAGATGTGTTATATACCGATGAAAAGAGCAGAAAATTTCCCATAAGATGAATATAGTTCTAGAGTTTCCTCTCCGTCAGATAAGAGAGTTATTGACCCAAGCGTGGTTTAGCCGCGGCAAGAATTCGTGGCAGTTTTTGCTCTCATTATCAACATTTCGGACAAAAACCAGTTTAAGATAGAGAAAAGACCAAGCTTTCCAACCGTGTGCTTAGTTTTTCGCTAGCTTTATAAATAACAAAGATATCTGTCCGAAAAGTACATAGATGAAAATACAAAAGTAAAGTTTGTTGCCAACTGTAGGTACCTTTTCAGGAGCGTTTTTTTTACAGACGCCGACAGATATTGACGGACGAAAACTCGGAATAAGATAGTCCAAGGTCAGCTCTTTTCGAATATGTAAACCATTTGTTGAATTTCCATCTGGTAACGGCTGCACAAGGCCGTGAAGTTTGATAATGTTGAGGTAATTTGAATGCAGCGTGATGTTTCTTATTTTTTCTTGCTTTCATTATCAACATATCGGCGGACGAAAAGCTTCTCGGCTTAAGATAGAGAAAAGACCAAGCTTTCCAACCGTGTGCTTTATTTTCAAGATAACGATGATATGGGCCCGAGAAGTAGGTGGAAATATAAAGGAAAATGTTTGTTGCTATCGTCTCGCCGGTATATAACTCAATAAATCTGGTAGTGTTCGCAACATGTAATTAATGTTTCTTTTTCCGTTACTTTTGCACCCGCAGCTTTTAATGAATTTACTGATTTTTCAAATTCACTAAAAAATATTAGAATATCTTTAAAATTTTTCATTCTCAGTTTTTCCAATTTATTTCTGCAAATTATCTGTAACGCTGTCGATTCTTTTAAATATAACTCATCAAATTTCTTTATAATACCATATGTCGCTTTTATTTCGCTCACTAATTCCAGTTGTTTATTTGTGATCGCACTGTAGATAATATTGATGGCTCTTAGATTTTTCTCATCCCAATCATCTCCATCGGAACTCTGTTTTTCTCTTGAAACAGCTTCGTTATATTTTTTCATTTTCAAATACATAATTATTCTCTTTTTCCAGCTTCCGTAATCTTCTCCACAGAACACCGGTACCGTTACGTTACGTTACTTGATCACACCTAAATCATAATCGAAACTAAACAACTCACTAGATGTATATTTAACCAGTCTCACTATCCCATATTTTGATCTTTTTATTCCACCTTACATCGTTACTTTAAGTTTACTTTCTGTTTTTATCATTATAACGTTCATTGGCGTTCAAAACACGTATTTTTTTATCGCCAAGGTTGAATCGTCGTAGCTTTGTGGCCATCTCACGATTTGTACCACGTTCGTTATATAAATAAACATTTCAAGACCAGATACCGTTCGATATTGACGTCAAACCCATCAACGATGTCCTACTGTTTACACCCATATCCTTTATGCAAACGTACAATTTTCGTTATCGTCGTCATAGAGCGTGATTATCAAGCGCCATTATAAACATCGTTATCGCAATTGTAGCTATAACATTCAAACTAGACTGATCATTTTAATGAAGGTAAAAATTGCACTTGACGCCGCGTCTATTGTACAAGTTTTTCGTTTCAACATTCGCATAATCAGTTCCTGGCACTATAAATAAGTTGTTTACTGAGACACTTATATTATTAGTTGAGATGTTTAGTGTTGCTGTTGTACCGAGTGCTGTTAGTTCGGTTGAGTGGAAATGATTTTCTTTTCTTAACGAATAAAAGTGATAATCAAAAAATAAATATAAACGAAGTGATTTAAATTAAATTACTCAACAAGTTTAAGCGAATAATATTTGTGATACAACCAAATTTTATTTATATTTTAGAAATTTTGAGAATCAAATTGGTTTTGATCGAATTATAGATTGATCAATCACATGACTGAATCAATCCAGACTGAATCGGACCAAAACAATTGATGGAAATGTGATCACATGGTTCTCATTAGCACAACTACAAACAGTTTCGGTTTTATTATTCACGTTTTAAAAATTAAAGGTCAACTAGTTTTATTAAAACGATCATGATAATCGCAACTTAACACTTTTAACCAGTTTTAAAACGCTAACTTTAAAAACACAAAAGTGTTCAAAGAGAGAATGTTTAAATAGAAAAATTAGTTTTAAAACTGTGGTGTAGTTAGACTATTAAAACGAGGATTCTCCAAAGAAATGCTTTCTTATTTTTTTGATAAATATTTCGAAAAGATTTCCGCATAAATTTTATGGAGATTATTATATCTTATCAGTGAGGAGAGGGAATAATATAAAGTGCCTTTGTCGTGTCGAATATCCTCTCAAATCTTAAGTAGTTCTTTAACGACGATGATCACCGTTTACGCTTGTTTAGCATTTCTTCTATTCCTATTTCTTTTGTATTGTTGGATTCAATTAAAAATTCGCAAACAAGAACGGCGATTAAACGTCCACGTGGGATATGATAAAATCAGTAAGCTTAAAATATTATTAACACATTATGTAGAAAATATTGATTATAATAATCCCCTACGTTGATAAAATCGTTTATGAAATTATTCAAATTAACGTTTTTTTCTAAATTGTTACAGCTAATCAAGACGATGATGTTTGGAACATCAGTTCGAGAGTAAATCAACAAAATCAAGATGGAACACCACCAAATTGGCCAACACACGATCATCGATTAAGTATGGATTTCGTAATTACACCGGAATATAATATTAAAGATACCAGGCCACCACCTCCTCCTTATTCAGAACGTAAGAATTTTTGTATAACCTTAATTTACTTTAATTTTAGAGTTAATAATTATTTTCATTTTATTTTTAGTTGATTTACCAAGTTATGAACAAGCAACAGGATGTCGTCCACCAAGAGCAGATCTTACACCAGTTCATCAACAATCGGATCAAAATAGACCAGGTCCATCGAGTTAAAGAAACTTAATATAAAATATCCTTCTTAAATCACTATTTAATTGATAGAAAAGATAATCTGGATCATTCCGTTTTGAAGCAAACCCAAAAAATACCATTTAAGTATTATTTAGTTTGCACCGCACTGACGTATCCAGTATTCTTTGTGTTTTAATAAATTTTAAGAGAAAAACATTATATAAATTAGAGAAGAAATTTGATGTGTACATAATGTTTTAAGTTGTACATATATTTTATATTCGGCACTGTGATGTTAGTTATGTAAGTGATGTTAAAAGGCTTTTTTTCGTACTTTGTGTTTAAATATATAGACATAAAACAAAAATAAAATAAACTTTAAAGAACCATAACAATCGTATTTATTATAATGTATCAATTAATTAATCGGTCTGACGTCAATAAATTTGTAAAAGTCTTGTAAATATATGTAAATACTCAATAAAGATTTTGAGGAGGCAATTATCATTGTTTTTGTATATTTACGATTTTGATAGGCAATTGGTAAATTTTTTAAGGAACCTCGAGTTTAAGTATTTTTCCGTGGGAATTTACGGTCATAAAAGCATGTGATGTTGTTTCATGTGACTTTAGTACGCGATAATTAATAATAAAATTGTACTATGTAATCGAAATAATTGGTTTTTAGAAGATTGTCACGCGAACTGACAGCAGTAAAGTAATTGAAATTTTTTGATTAATTTATTTATTACTGAGATGATTTTAAATTGTGTTAAAATAATTTATCAATCATTTCAATTATGATAAAAATACTTCAAGAAAATTGAATGAATCGTACACTGTATTAGTTTTACGCCAACTCTTGTAATCAATGTTTTGATTTTCTCTTAATTGCAATTTCCTTTACATCTCCTAAGATGATTATCTATATTACGGGAAACTAAGAAAACGGTATTCTTTTCTTCCTCGTAGTCTTCCCTTAAATTCATCACATTTCCTCAGCATATACATTACTAATTTCAACTCATTTCTAACAAAGAAATTATGTATCCAGAGGCATATGTAACCATAAAGACCAGGATAAGGCCTTCTGCACATGCAGCTGCACTGAGAGAAATATATTCTTGAACGAAGATTATTACTCTTGGCTCAAGCTTATCATATTCTTATATATCCACAAGAAGATCATTTTGTTGAGTAAAGAAAAACGACATATTCTCAAAGCAAGTATACAAATATTCTTGATTCTCAAGAAAACGAAACCTTTGTCGAAGTATATCAATTATCTTGAAACAAGAGTATCTTAGTGTTACGTCAACAATCCCTTTTTCTTGCTGTAAGTGTATTAATATCTTAAAACAAGAATATGTTAGTGTTGGAACAACAAACCCATTTTCTTGCAATAAGTATATTAATAAACTTGAAACAAGAATATGTTAATGTTACATCAACAATTACATTTTCTTGCAATAAGAATATTAATAATCTTGAAACAAAAATACAGGCTTCCCACGGAATTGGGACATAGGATTTTATAGGAAAACTACAGCTGCAATGGATTTGATATTTGGCACGTCGATATAAGCCAAAGATATCAATCTTGTAAGGGTAGTGTCATGTCTCAATCACTTTCGGTTATATCGGAAATGGCTACTAACTTCAATATTATTAAAATTTTCTTAAAAATAATGAAGTTGGTAGCAACTTAGAAACACAACATTACCCTCAAAATATCGACTTCTTTGCTTTATATCGATGTGCGAAATATCGATCCATTGTATCTATAGATTCCCTATAAACCGCTATATTCTTATCTCACGTATAATAATGTTGAGATTAGGTACAAGTCTATAAAAAAAGTTTAATATTGTAACAAAGTTTATTTATATCATTTAAACTTATTATATATTTAAACTGTAAATTATAGTATTATAAATTAAACAATAACGAATTTTCAACTCAAAAAGGTAAAATCAATCACCTAACAGTATTAAGTTTCTTGCTACAAATGTTGCAAATGAACATTATGAAAGAATTTTTATTTTATATAAACCGTCGCAAATACAGAGCGTTCAACAATGATTGTAAGGTGTTTGAATTTGGCGCGCTTGACTTTTAGTAACATTTGACAAACAACATTGGTATCGGCTGACGTTTTCGACGTATTTTTAACAATCAGTGGCGTGGTATGTTTTAATTTCTTTCGGGTTAACAAGTTTCAACATTTATTATGACAAAATGTGAATAAATATTAATTGATTTCATACACCTTTTTAAATTTTGTTAGTAAAGTTACACATTGATAAATTGTAAATAAAAATTTTTTAACCTCATAAATTTTTTAATGCCTTCGAAATTTTTTCTATGATACGCCTATGTTTATTAGTATTAGTTGTCTCATACCAGCCTTAAAAATTAAACGCAAAGGCGGGAAATTCAAACACCTTACAATCATTGTTGAACGCTCTGTATAAGGATAAATTTTATCTTCTGATGTATGTATAAAATACCTTGCTGAATAAGAGTCCACAAGTAACCACTGTGCTCCTGTCACATGGAAGGACTTGAAACATAATTCAATCGCATCAATTACTTTCTCGCATTTATATTTTATGTCATCAATGATCATATATGAAGCATAAATAGAATTCCACGCACTTCCTTCGAATGAAACGTATGGCTGTATACTTATCTTTTGGTCGGCATATAATCGTCGTTGGGCAATTATATTTTGTTCGATTTCTTCTGGATTCTGTAAAGATATATACTACATAGTTAAATATGTTAAAATATAACATTGTGATATCAAGTAAACATATTCAGATTAACATTATTTACCTTAACAAACAAACACAATGAATATATATATACAGGTGTCTCAGCGAGATCGGTCATTAGACGTTTCTGGGGTTTTTGAGAATTCAGACTTAAGTATTATCAATTACGATCTCTTCGACTAAAATATTTTCAGATTTCTTGCACTTCCGGTTATACCGGAAGTCGCCACCTACTTTATTTTTTTAAATGGAAAACCCTGTATATTTTTACATATTTGGATTTGTCTGTTTTCAGGGTTTATAAATAACTTTACTTTTTGCAATTTGATACGGCCGTTCTCGAGTTATTCGAATTTTTCTAGAAAAATCTGCTCCAGCAGATATTAGTTCAAAAAATCAGAGAACACTCGATTTTTGGGATATCAATTTAGGATTCAGAATATGCTTAAACAACATGATGGAGTATGTTTTGGTGCCGAGAACGGTTATCTAGAACGTTTGGTTACTTTACTATGGCATGTTAACTTTTCAAAATTTGGAAATACCATAACTTCATTTTTTTAAATGGCACCCCCTATATTTTATTACTTAGTCGTCTTCGGCGTCTCATTCTACATCTTTTATATCCTATATGTCCCATACCTAACATTAATAGTTTAGGAGATAATTAGGCTTTTCTGAAAAATGCACACATATCATATGGATAACTAAAATTTTCCGCCATTTTTGGAGGGGTGTAGCTACTTAGGGGAGCCGAAGTCGCCCATGGTTTATATATCAAAGTACCCTTAAAATTGCCTAAAGAATCACCCCCTGAAGTTTGGGCATGTCATTCAGATACATTCTGTATATATCAGCCACCTCTTTACAACATAATTTTACTCGTCTGTTAATTATGCCTCGCGGAGAAAGAACATACGACAATGACATAAACTGAAGTCATCACAAAACATTATAAATATAAATATGTACACAGGAAAAAATCGTGTCGTGTAAAAATTTTAGAGTAGTTGGTAAAAAGAATTAGAGTAAAAATTGTAATATCCCATGGTAAAAATAACTTTAATGTACACTATATTTAATATTAATATAGAGTTCATATATTATTCACTTAATAGAGTAGTTTTTACAGTTCTCTAAAGGAGAGTTCTTTTTTACTTATGTTAGTGAAGTTATGTAATATATAAAACATTAAATTTTACACTAGACGTGTACTTTTCCTTCGGGTACTTCGTAGGCACCGCACTATTTTGCTCGGGATTACTCGTCGGTACCACGTGATCAACATGTGGTGTGATACAGCTAAAATTTAACGGTCATCTACTAAACGAGTCGGAACTCGATAGCGTCTCGAGACCTGATTTACGCGACATAAAAAGAAAGAACGATTATTTTTATTTTAATTATGTTTGCCAAAATAAAACATTCATGATGTGAAATTAGTGGAACTTCTGGAAGGTTTTACATACAAGTTTTTTGTGAAGATTGGTAAGTATGTGCAACTTGGTGCAACTATACATATAGGAAACTTATAGAAGACTCATTAGATGCAGTTTTGATGGTGACTCGGTGGAAACTTTAAAATGAATTAAGTATTATATATGTTATATATGTATATAAACAGAATTTAATTTTTTTAAATTTAAGTGTATACAATATATTACAAGTAAAAATAAAAACAAATATTTTATAATTTTGATTTTTATTACAAACGTAAAACTTCCCTAAAAATACTCCACTTCCTATTAAAAATTAACACTAATAAGTGGAAGATACACACTATTTAGTGATATGTTGTCAATTAATAGAGTAAAATTAGAGCGAATTTTTAATAATTTACACTGATTAGATTAGAAATGTATCTAATTAGACAACATCAAGTTAGATTACATATAATACACTGTTATAGAGTAACGATTTTACACTATTTAATAAACACCATCTTCTCGCTATTTAGTGTAAATTTTTAATCTATTCACCTACACTATATAGTGCAAAAAAATAACTCTAAATACATTGGAGCGATCTGAACCATATTTTAGAGTTGATTTTTACTCTATATTTTTTCCTGTGTACGTAATGTCAAGTATATAGTTAATTACCAGCGGCAATTTCTTGATTTGTGTTAAGCTCTTCAAGAGCAGATTGTCCTTCATGAAAGCGAATGGAAATATTTTTCCGAAGTTTTAATATTATCTCAAATAACCGTTTAAAGTTATTGTTTTAAGAATATCTAAAAATAACAAAAATATACTATGCGCTTTTTATTTATACGCAACAACAACTTACTAAACTATGTGCTCTTGCATCGTTCAGTATCGTAAATGTTGCGTAAAAGCTGCTTTCAATTTATTCAAAAAGATTTTATACGTACCTTCAAAAGTATTGACAAGGTCCTCCAAACCTCTAACTTTTCAATAAAGTATCCATTCCCTATAACCTATTCTCTTTTGTATATATTTGAATAACACCACAAGGATAAAATTAATCTTTCTACAAAACGACGTGTACGTAGAACCGCTGTTAAATCGACTGTCACTCTTCCGAAAATTTCACCCTTACACAGGAAAAAATATAGAGTAAAAATCAACTCTAAAACATGGTTCAGATCGGTCCAATTTATTTAGAGTTATTTTTTTGCACTATATAGTGTAGGTGATTAGATTAAAAATTTACACTAAATAGTGAGAAGATGGTGTTTATTAAATAGTGTAAAATCGGTAC